TGATGGGTCGGACACAACTTCGCAACTATCCATCTATCCTGCAAGTCCCTTGGACTGCAAGGCCATCCAACCGGTCAGTCCTAGAGGAGATCAACCCTGACTGCTCTTTAGAAGGCAAGATCCTGAAGAGGAAACTCAAATACTTTGGCCACCTGATGAGAAGGAAGAAGGACTCCCTGGAGAAGAGCCTCATGCTGGGAACGATAGAGAGCAAAAGAAGAAGGGGACGACAGAGAAGGAGATGGCTGGATGGAGTCACCGAAGCAGCAGGTATGAGCTTAAATGGACTCCAGAGGATGGTAGAGGACAGGAAGGCCTGGAGGAACGTTCTCCATGTGGTCACAATGGGTCGGACATGACTTCGCAACTAACAACAAGCTATTTTGTTCTTTGGGCTGTAAGGGCTGGGTTTTGTTTGCCTTGCTTTGTTTTACGGCAAACTTTCCTTATCCCTTTTGGCTTAATAATGGCTAAAAGGAAACTCAAGAATGCAGTTTTGGAAATGAAGTGTCTGGCTACAGATCCGTCTGCAATAGGAACCTTAGTTGTGTGGACGCTGCTGAGGAGAAAGAGACATGGTTACAGTTAAATCACCTAAATGAGCTTCTGCAGCCTACTTCTAATTGTATGTGTTAGTTTTTCATGGCAGGAATGATGCTTTGTAATAAAACAACACGGAAAGCGGCTCCATCTCTTAGTCAGTGTAATGAACAGAACACTTTGTTGCCTTGGAAAAAACCACAATTACTCATTTCCTCTACCTTCCTCCTTCCCCACACCTTAGTAGACTTTTTTTTGGAAGAACTGTATTACACATTTCTTAGAACTGTATTACACATTTCTTAGTAAACAAAAGGCTTACTTTGTACTTTAGGTTAACTAGAGAAATCTTGTGCTGTTGTTTTGATCAGACACACCACCTGCAGGAGAAAGATGGTGGGCCAAGGGCTCATCTTTCAAAAGAGTTTGATGTAGACTGTCTCAGTTTCCATTCTTCCCTTCCCTTCCCTTCTCTTCTCTCCCCCTCCTTTCCCCTTCTCTTCCCTTCTCTTCTCTCCTCCTCCTTTCCCCTTCTCTTCCCTTCCCTTCTCTTCCCTTTGCTCCTCCTCCTTTCTCTTCTCCCTTCCCTTCCCTTCCCTTCTCTCCTCCTCCTTTCCCTTCGCTTCGCTTCCCTTCTCTCCTCCTTTCCCTTCGCTTTCCTTCGCTCCTCCTCCTTTCTCTTCTCTTCTCCCTTCCCTTCTCTTCTCTTCTCTTCTCATGCATTGTTGACTTTGGTTTTCCCGAAACTGCCTGCCTCTTTGAATCTCCCGCAGAGAGATTAAGAATATCATGGGCAAAGGGATGAGAGAATTGGTCTCTGAATTTAGTTAGTTAGTTAGCTAATTAGTTAGTTAGTTAATCAAACATGTATGAGATAACAGGCATAAGTAGAAACATGGACATGAACACAGGAAGTGGGTTTGAATAAATGGGGACAGTAGGACAGGGATGGTAGGCACGCTGATGCACTTATGCACGCCCCCTTACAGACCTCTTAGGAATGGGGCGAGGTCCACAGTTTAAGGTTGAAGCTGTGGGGGCTTGAGGATGTAACAACAGAACCAGGTAGAGCATTCCAGGCATTGACCACTAAAGTTGCTAAAGTCGTATTTTCTGCAATCAAGTTTGGAGCAGTTTACCTTGAGCTTGTATCTATTGTTTGCCCCTGTATTATTGCGGTTGAAGCTGAAGTAGTCATTGACAGGTAGGACGTTGTAGCAGACAATTTTGTGTACTACGCTTAGGTCAGATCGTAGCCGGCGTAGTTCTACATTCTCCAAGCACAAAAATTCAACCCAGGTGGCATAAGGGATTCTATTGTGAGCAGAGGAGCGGAGGACTCTACTCATGAAATACCTCTGGACTCTCTCAATTGCATTATTGTCTGATAAAGAGTGTGGATTCCAGGCAGACGAGCTGTATTCGAGAATTGGTCTGGCAAAGGTTTTGTATGCCCTAGTTTGCAGTACAATGTTACCGGAGAAGAAGCTTCGGAAGGTTAGGTTATGAGCAAAGGGATGAGAGAAGAGGTCTCTGCATCGCTGCATGGAATTGCATGGGTTCAACCCTGCACCAAAGGAAATCTTGCTCTAAATCAGTGGTTCCCAAACTTGGCAACTTTAAGACTTGTGGACTTCAACTCCCAGAATTCTGGGAGTTGAAGTCCACAAGTCTTAAAGTTGCCAAGTTTGGGAACCACTGCTGTAAACCCATGGCTTTTTCTATTTAATCCCAGTTTCGGGATTGGAGATTCCTTGATGCCTTTTCTTTTGAAGGAAAACCTACTTTTCCTTCAGATGCTGTCATTTTTTGTACAACTGTGAGATTGGGGAGGTGCCTTCTTCATCCCTCTGAAATGTCTCTCTTGTTGCGTTACTGGTTGAGAATCCTGCCTCTGTTGGTGCCTGATAGCCAAACTTTGTCTCACTCCCCTAAAGTGAAGGGCTAATACAATAAATAAAAGGTAATTAAAAAGTATATCACCAAGGCGCCTGCCTGCCAAGGAGCAGAAGCCAAGGAGTTGAATCACAGGCAGGTGGATCAGGGCCAAGTTGAGGGGGAGGTGAACAAGGAAAAGGAGAGCACACAGGGAGCATATTTCAAGATCCCGAAAGGGAGAAACTTCCATTCTTCAGGAGCTGAACCCTGGCTTAGTAGCTTTCCAAGAAACGATTGTTTCTTCTTCCCTTTTGTTTCCTGGGACAACGGATTTCTCTTAGCAATTAGATTTCAAGTTGGCTATCTCTCTTTTTCTCTCTCTCTCTCTTTGCGGTAGAAAATGTCACAGATCAAGCCATTTCCTTTTGCCCAGATCCCTGCTCATTTCGGATTGGCTCTTTCCCAGGGGAACGGCTGCTGGACTTCCTTTCTCAGCCTCCTTGTGGAAAAGGACATTTTGTTTTCATGCTTCAGCCCTACAGAGCCTCCGAGAATTGGCCTTCTTTTTTTTTTTTTTAAGCCGGGCTTTTAAAAATGCTCTGAGCATGACGGCGAAGAGCTGCTTCACTTTGCAATAATAGAGCCGAGGGTTTGAGAAGAAGGATTCCACGATTGATCTGGTCCCCAATAATATACCACAGACATGTCAAATGAATGTGACCTTTGAACAAGCTCTCAGCATTCCAAATAATGCACAAATGGAAAGCAGAACTCCAAGGCAGGTAGATTCCTCAAAGGACAATTTTATTGGCACAGGCTGGTGAAAACCGATTCTGAAAGTTCCTGTGGTTTTCACCTAATGAAAAGAGAAAGTTTCCCCCCCTTTTCCCAAGTCATCAGTCACATGATCCAATCAATGTGCTGGCCAGTTGCTTGGTTACTTTACTCCTCCTCTCCCAGCCACCTGTTGGAATGACCTTGGTTCCCACAGGGAAATTTATTATTATTATTATTATTATTATTATTATTATTATTATTATTATTATTATCTTTTATTTTTTATTTTTTTCTTTTATTTTATTTCACAGACAACAATGGGAAAAGGAGAAGATGAAAAAAAAAAGGGGGGGGAACCCATCTTCACATACAATATGTCGTTTGATC